CCTGATGTACTGATCGACCCTGATGTACAGGTCGTCCAGCTCTGTAGGTCGATCTAAGGCAAGGTTCTTGTGGAGGTCAGAACCCGGGCATAGACCGTTATAAAAGGCGATGGAAACCAGTTGTTCATGGCTTTTGTTGAAGTCATGAATTAAGTTGAGCTCTGACTTAAAGCGTTGGAAGTACTCGGCCAGTAACTCCCTTGGCTGTTGCTTGATGAGGAATAAGCAATCAATAGTAACAGGTCGCTTCTGGTTGTAGATGTACGCCAGAACGAACAGTTTCTCCAAGTCGGTGAAGGAGCTGATAGAGTTAGGGGGCAGTTTGTGAAACCAGTCCAGCGCAGGGCCGGCGAGGCTGGAAGGAAACAAGGTGTAGAGTATGGATTCGTCCTTCACCAGAGGGAGCGACTTCCTGAACGACTTGATGTGGTCGGTAGGATCTCCAACTCCTGAATATTGATCGAACTTAGGTGCGTTGAGCTTGGTTGGAAAGCCTGCGCCTAGCAGATCGGAAGTGAAGGGTGAAGTATGGCATTGAGCCAGAGCCTGTAGGGCGAGCTCTTGGGGGAGGCGGTTCTTCTGAGCGACCTGGGTTGCTCGGAAGGCTTCAAATTGCTGGCTGAGGGCATTGAGCTTTGCCTGGGTGTTTGTATCGACGAGCAGGTCGACACGTTGTTGATTGAGGTGGTTGGTTTGGTCGCTGCTGGTGGAAGTGCCCTCTTTGGCTTTGAGCATAGCGACCTCTTCCTGCAGTTTTTTGATCGTTTCCTGCAGATTGGTGGTGAGTTCTTCTTGGGAAGCCATTTGAGGATTAGTGATTTCTCAAGAAGATCTGGGGGGGGTGGCTTTTGGATGGGATTAGGGTTTGCTTCTGATATGATCAGAAACCCTCAGTCGGCGCCAAATGTATTAACCTGATTTCAGACTAACACATTACCTTAGGTCGAATTGATTATGAGGACCTAGGTGGGGATTAGATTATGGAAATGGCTGTACTTCGGTTCAGGTCGAAGTTGCCTACGTACTCTAGTTCGGGGATGTTGAACTTAGAGATCAAGCCACCGTAGTTCTGGGGTTTTATAGAGATGATGAGGCGGTGATGGAGAGGTTTTCCTTTGTACGGCAGGTAACTAGCTTGACCTAGTTTGTTTACCAAGTCATCCAGTGATTGAGTTATAGAAGATAACAAATACTTCCTATGCCGGTCAGATATTCTCAGTATGTTAGTGTGATACGCTTCTGCATCTGGACTATCCGAGCTGGTAGATCGAGTAGAGCAGATCGGTGAAGTTATATCAGGTCAAGTCGACAGTGGTGCTTCAGGTCGGGTATGATGCCACGTGTCGTCTTCTGATTGGATGGAATATCTAGTACCACTACAGAGTTTGGGTGTTTGGGTATACTATATTACCTCCCTCTCTCTCCTCCAGTTACTAAGATTCGCATGTCTATGATCTTCACTCATTGCTTTGGATCCTCAAAGGTTTGTCATAGCACACACACACAGAGCAGAAGCTCTCTATAATCAAATCGAACCAACAAACTTGCAGGTTTCTATTTCTCTTACAGGTTTGTTGCACTCAAACTTACAAATTCTCTCTCGCTTAATAACTAACAGGTTTCTTGAACCAATGGAAGATTGGTCATATATGGTCAAATAAATTAAGTGAATAATATTGCATTGTAGACAAAAATGGTTAGCGAGGAACCCCCACAAATATAACACTTAACAGAGCTACAACATATTCCACAGTTGATACTAATAAAGACTTCGCAGTCTCCCTCATTTCTAGAAACAGTGCACTTCAAAAGTAATAGTCCCTCAAAAGTTTTATTTATGACTTGTGAAAATTTGATGGGAAAAAAAATAAGACACTAAATTCTTAGTCCTTGTATGATTATCATTCACACACACAATGTAATTGCAAAGCATGAAAAACGACCATGTGACTTAAAACACAATGATGTAAATCAATTTTATCTTCAATATTTGGAGTAATATGATGTTGTAGTATTATTATAAGGTGAATATGAAATTGGTTGTGGCTAGCTATTATTTTCATTTTTCATTTACCATATTATAACACTAAAATTATATAAAAAAATAAGTGAAGACTTGTCGTCCTGTGGCCTCCTTATAAATCAGTGATTTCTTCATCTAACAAATTGTTGGATCTAAATTTTGCCATATCATTAGCAGAAGAAAGAAAAGTACTCAATAGTCGAAATTGTGATCAAAAGCAAATCAAACAACACATTATATATATAACCCAAATGGGTATGCCTGAAACTATTGTTTAAATTATAATGAAACAAAACCCACAACCATGTGAAACCAAACAGATAATCTGTACAGCTGTATTGCACTTTAATTACACGCTCCTACATTTTAGTGACATCGGATCCTACTTTAGGATTCAAAAATATTAACAAAACAGAACTTCCATGTTAATCTAATCAAGAATAAAGATTGCTAGAGGAAGGGCTTGAACCTTCGACTTTGTGGTTATAACCACACGCTCTAACCAACTGAGCTACTCCAGCTAATATTTTTAGTTAAAATCATAAGCTAAAAAGGATTCTGTCTCATACTGAAGATCACAAACCAAGAAGTTTTATCAAACTAAAATGGTCCCATTCATATCGTCAAATTGATAGACCTTACATATATTTGAAATCATCTTTCCATTGAATTGTGATTATTCAGGTCCTATTTCCGTCATGATTGTGGATTTAAATTGGTTGAGAGATACAATACTACATGAGAGAAAGAGGGAGGTAGAAGTGTTCTCAATTACTAATAATACGTATTGTTTTGAAAAGCTTAAACAGGTTCTTCAAAACTGATGTTGCAATTTTAAAAGAAATAAGAAAAATATGATAGGTTGAAGTACCTAATTGAAGTGGAATCAATATATCGACAGTTTGATAATGACGTGTGCAAAGCCTATAGTTGAAACTGGAAAGTGTCACCAAAGCTTGAAAAAGGGTAGATTTCGATCTGGAATAGATTCTTGGAGACCATTTCCACATCCTACATCACAGTCAGGTAATTAGTCAGTTAAACTGCAGCCACTACCATAGGCCAAATTGTAACCACTACCGTAGGGTCTACTGTACAGTAAATTAGACCAAGCATCTGGTTTCCTATAGAGGTTGCTTGTTCGCTGGTGTGTTGGTGTAATCCTAGCCTATGTTGTATATTACAGTACAACATAGTTTGCAAACAAGCATCACACCTGTTTTCTGCGTTGGATTGTCTGTTTACTAAATAGTAATTCCCCAAGCTTCT